TCATGTCGCTAATCCTTTCATGAATTACTCCAAATGTCGATTTGGAAGCACGAATAAGTCATATAGCCACGAAATACAGAAATTAATGGCAACATATAGAAATTTAATTTGAATTTACGCTAATGTATTTTCAGCTACCTAGCTAGTAGCATACTATCTATTATAAGAAATGGATTGCAATATGAGAACTAGATAATGGGTGGGTTGGGTGGGTTTTGTTATCAAATTGAACAACCTGCTTATTAATTGGTTGGTACAATTGTTACCCACAATCCACCCACACACTTCTTGGGGGTTGGGTGAGTGGTGGATGGATGCGGCTGTGTTTGGGTTAACCAACTAGTAATGAGGCAAGTTGACTAACATTTATTATAAATTTCTCACAAATTAGTAAGACTACATCGATTAAGATACCTTCCAATTTGTCTCATTAGAAGAGTCTAGTACTTGTATCAAATCTTTCATACTTCATGAACTAATTGTGTGGAAAAAGTTCACATTTTTTGCGACTTAGATACAATTAATATTTTAACTTGAATCTCAAATTTGGTTAAGAAATATGATAACTATTCGGTAGTACACAAACAAATATTTTTCATGTAAAAATTGATTGCGGATCATTCGGGTGCCTCGTAATCCATCCACCACCCACCTGATAACTGATAAGTGTAGATCGGAGATTTATTGATCTACAATCCACCCACATCAATCACTTACTCACTATGATTTAGGTTATTTGTGGGGTGGGTCGATGTCAAACCGTGAATTACTCACCCACTTGCCTAACCAAAAAGAACCATTATTATATACATAAAAAAAAATCTTGTAAGCGATTAAACCCTAACAGGCTAACTTATATCTTATATATCATGACCGTCAATTTATTCATCCAAATTTGGATGGTTGATGCAACTTTAATATATAGTATAATTAGGAGAAGACAAACCCTAGCACTATCATTCTTCATCTTCGACAGTAATAATATCCAATATCCTTCTATTTTTCACCCTCTCAACTTAGGGTTTTCTCCTTCTTCTTCGTCTAGCGTCTTATTTCCGTTGCGGTCTTCCCTTCTTCTTCACGCCTGAGGCGCCGCCACTACGCCTTCTACAGTCAACGATGATTTCTTCTCCTTCTTTGCCACTTCTACCGCTTTTATGTTCTCATATCATATCGGAATTTCAGATCTGTTCGGCGTCGGTAGTAGATCAGATCCCTCCTGAAATTTTTTTGTCATCTTTATATGCGTGTGAATATAACTATATGTTCTTTCTCAGATTTGATGGTATTAACGATGGCACTTTTTGAGGTGATTAGGCGAAGGAGCGGAGGCGCCAAAAGCTCGTTTGATAATGTCATTCGTGAAGTTGATTGAATAGATGATGGAGTTCCCGGCCGACCGACGTTGAAACATAGGGAAAGAGCAATAGTGTGTTCTTATTTTGACTTTTTCTGAATGTATATATGTATGACCTCGTTAAAGAAATACCCAATGTATATATTATATCTTACACAATTAAAGGGGAAAAAAGAGAACACGATGTATAATTTTTCATCAGCTGTGTTTAATTGTTCATAGCAATTCTTCGAATTGTATGAGAGATAATGTATATTGTATATAAATTAATCTATTAAAATCAAAGACTATTTTGGGTTATGATTCATCGAGTTGGTGACAGTTGTAGAATACTCCAGGACGAAACGTTATGTAACAAATGACTGTTTATTTGTTATATTAGTAATCAGCCACAATTTTCTTTATAGCAAGAAAATAGGCAGAATAACTATCTAAAATATTTTATAGAAAGATAATTATCTCACTAGACATTATTAATATCGTAGCAAAACATTTAATCCTTTAGATTCGAATGGATTATGCATGACAAAATATTTAGATCTAGCCATGAACTGTATCTATGTAGCTAAACACTTGTAGGCTTTTGCTACATGGATTCCTCATTCGTGGCAAGACTCATTTATCACTCTAGCCACGTTATACGCCTTTTAATAGCTAAAGTGTTAAGTATTAGCTATGAATTGTTTAAAATACGTGGCTAACCTTTAGCTGCACCACTTTTAGCTACACGAGCTACAAATTTATTTTTTTGTGGCTATATATTTTAGCCACGCAATATTTAGCTTTTAGCCATGCATACTTTCATAGCAACACATGGTTTTTCTTGTAGTGACCGTAATCGGACAATCGCGGATGATTGAGTTTACGATTAAACTATCACTTACTAGGGTACTTAGCCCCCAAGATTCTGCCCTAACTTAACGTGAGGTAATTCTAATGTCCTTGCAAACTTGGTGGAAACGAAAGAATGCGTGGAACCAGAATTGATAAGGACATAAGCAAGTTACTTGAACCGGAAATCATACCCGTCACCACCTCGGGCGCACCTCTGCCTCCTCTCTCCTCATGGCAAAGAGCCTCTACTGTCCCCCTGCTAGAGGCCTCTGGTCTCCACCCCAATCATTGCGGTCAAACCCCCCAGTACCTCCTCTTTGGCTGTTGAAAGAGCCGTTTGGATGGCCTCCAAACTGAGATCGAGTGTGAGTCCTTCCTCCTCAACCTCTGACCGACTGCTCGGACTGCGCTCTCCCTTGCCTATCTCTCCAGGGGCATCCCCTAGCAAAATGACCTAGATTGTTGCAGTAGTAGCAGACCCCCTGAGTGCTGCTTGCACACCCTGAGTGGTCTTGTCTACACTAGTTGCAGGGAACCCTATTGCTAAAATTCTGCCCAGGTCGAACATAGCGGCTCTGGCTCTGAGTACCCCCGTAGCTGAAGGTACCGCTTGGCCTCCTCCTGAACTGACTAGGCTGGCCGGGCCCCTATGACATGCTGCTAGCCTTTCTTACACGTCCTTTCTCAATTTAAATTCCCCTTTTTATTTACCAAAGCACCCTCTCCTCAAAGTCCCAACCTCAAACCTCAATCCAAAGATCCCTTAACCTCCTTTAACAATTTCTCTAGAAGTAATCCCTTCAAAACCTTCTTGGGCGAATTTTTTTACCTAACTTGAACATTCTTAAAAATTCGGATAATAATTTTCCTACGTCAATCAGGAGAACATAAAACATGAAAAATTATCAAACCCCTAAAAATTCCTCGACATGGTTTTTATTTAATTAAAATCAATATTAGACTATTTTTTAAAAAATTATAATAGGTATTCAAAAATTCCCAAATTAATCACAAGAATTTCCAAGACCTGACACAATTTTAAAAATTATAAAACAAAAAAAAAACCATCTTCAGAGGCTCGAAACAATTAAAACAACTTAATCACTTTTCAGAAAATTCCCTGCAGCTTTAGTGACCACCCAAAATCTGTCACTAAAACCCTGTAAAGGTTGTTGCTAAAAACCCAGAATTGTACTCTCACGAAAAATCACCAAATCGATCGATCCAATGCGAAGGGATCGAATTTTCTTACCTCTAGAACGTGCCTAGGTTCAGACTCGACGACCTTGAACGTCGATTTCCTCGTCGATCAATGTTTCGAAGCTTCAAGCGTCCCCGTAAGACACTACTGCTCCGGGACTTGTCCGGGACAAGGAGACGACGACTAGTGGCAACCGAAGGCAATGGGACGGCGCTTCCTTCTTTCTTCTCCGCGGCGGCTTCGGTTACTCTCTCGCTAGCGAAATAATTCTCGGCTGCTAGGGTGGGGAAAAGTTGGGGTAATTGGTGAAAAGTTGGGATGAGAAAAATTGAGGGCCGCTAGGCCCTCTAGTGTGTGTATATGTTAATTAATAATAATAATAATTATTATTATTATTAATCCACGGCTGTAACCCTTCGTATGTAATCGTTAATCCAACTGCGCATTTAATATGGTCAAACCAAAATTCAAATATCGGGGTGTTACAAAACCGGCACCCGCCCACCTATCTTAGTCATCCCTAAAAGTCGTTCCAGTTGGAAAAGCCGGTTAGCGAGCTCCCAAAACGGTTAACCGTTCAAACCGACCGACCAATTTTTAGAGCCTGACCGTCTGATTTTATGAAAACATTAAAGCTTGAAATTGTTGGGTTGAAGGTCGCCGCCCTCCCTATGTTGCCACTTTCTCGAACTTCTTCGACCTCACCTCCTCAGGCCAGCGACCCAACGACGACTAAGGAGGTAGCTCTTCGTCGTTCCCTGTTCGTCTTTCTTTCTCTTAAAGGCTAGGGAATGGGAGCGAAGGAGATGGAATAAAAGAGGATGAAAGGAAGAATTGGTTGGTGTTCGTCTTTTTCTCATAAGAGGGAGGTGGAAAGAAAGAATTTAGGAAAGCAAGAATTGGCTTTGGTGTTCGTCTTTTTCTCGGAAGAGAAGAGGAGGAAAGAGAGAATTGGGGAAAGGAAGAAAAGAGGATGGGAGAGGGCGGCGCATAAGAAGGTGGGTGGGTAGGTATTTTAAAGGTCATATATACTGTCAAATTACTAAATGATACTTGCAAAGTAAATTTCATTTTAACCATAAAATTGTCAAATTATTACTTTACATGTCTTCTAATTATGATACTATTGTTTATAAGGTATCGGTTCTCTAACGGTTTTTTAACGATCTAATACCGGTTTGATAACTAAAGTACGAGCCATTCACATTATCGGGCCATGCTCCGATTCGGTTCTAACAATATTGCTAATATGGACCATAATCACTAGCTTGTATTCATTATCAATCTTTTCATTTTATTTGTGTGTTTTGAACCATCATATTAAGGCTTCCTATACAATCAAGGAGTTGAGCTAGCTATTCTCCATAATCCATCCAAGTCTTCTTCATGGAAATCCCGCTTTATTTAGATAAGGAAAAGCATACGCTTTTATGAAACAATATGCTATGGCTCGAGAGGGGTGCAGAGACAGTATTAGGGCTAAACCGAGAAGTGTTGCACCCTCTTGAAATGAGTGCATGTACATCACACCTCCTACGATATAGTTATTACTAAAGCCGAAGTTAATGAGGGTAGTATTGTAAAAAAACTAAAATCTCGGGATGGAGGATGGAGTTATGTGATAAAAAGGCGAAGTTGTCATATACACATTTGATGGCGGACTTAAAAAGTCACCTACAGAGGCTTTACGCCTAATCACTCCGGATAACGATTGCAACCTTTTTATTACTGCTTCGAAATTAGTACGACAAATTAGGTAAAGTGTTCCAACTTTCTCCATTGCTCACGATTATTTCGTCCATTGAGGGCAATATCAATTTTAATGCGGTGGAGTTGTGTGGTATGTGATACTTCATTATGCTTTCAATTTCCAAATATTGAGTCGTCAAATTTCAAAATTTTGAAAAATATATTGAAGATGTTTTTTATCTAATGACTTTTGGCAATCCCTACAAACATGTTCACTACTCATCTTACTTTAAAACAATGAGTCTAGGGAATATCACTTCATCTAGGGATGATAATGTAGTGACTATAAAAGATGTGATAATCAATGTGATATGATCACCATTTTATAAGTTTGAATGCTATGTGGTTTAACTCATGCATGGATTTACGATTATGCAAAGGAATCTCATTGTTCAAATATTTCCATAGGGATAATGGAATCTTCTATAAAATGCAAAAATCTACCAATCAAGAAACTATTGTATCATGGGGGAATTCTCTTCTCTCTCTTCTCTCTCTTCTCTCTGCTAGTTCTAGGGTTCGGCCTTTGATTCCGACATGGCGACCGTCGCCGGCGGAGCCTCCTCAGGTGCCGTCGGTGACGGGCGCACTTGGGCGTCGCTCTTTTCATTTAATCCGGACCTCAGGCTGGATTATTACGAACCGGAATTTATCAATGGATCGCTGCGAATCCCCAAATCGGTTCTCGAGGAGGGTTCTAAGCGGTGGGTTAATTGCTTAGTCGGACAGTTTCTTGATCGACCTACATCGCTTTCCTCCATTTACTTTTGGGCGAATTGGATCTGGGGACGAGATGGAGCTATTCGTGTTTCGTGGTTAGGGGAGCGACTGGTCCTGTTTCAGTTCCCGACTGCAGAAGTCTGTCGTTGGGTCTTCGAAGGAGGGCCGTGGCATCACCGTGAGAATATGTTGTTTCTGCGCAAGTGGGAGCCAGGTATTCAGCCTCTTGCTATCGACAATTCAGTTGTTCCAGTTTGGGTTAAGCTCTCGAATTTGCCGTCTGAGATGGCGTCAAAGGAAGGTCTAGGGCGAATTGCTAGTTCTTTGGGTCGTCCTCTTTGTATGGATTACCCTACGAAGCAAGGGACTCGATTGGGGGTAGCGAAGTTGTGTGTTGAAATTTCAGTAAAAACTACCTTGGTGAACAAGCTGAGCATTACTCCTGATGACTGCCCAGAGTTGTTTGTTGATGTAGAGTTCTGTCATGTCACGAGCAAATGTGAGAAATGTCAGTTATTTGGCCATGACTGCTCTAACCCTGGAGGGAAGACGAAGAAGGTCTGGGCTGTTAAACAGCCTAGAGTGAAGGAGCTTGTTCCTGTTGATCCTATGGGGTTACAGGATAAGGGGAAGGGGGTGCTAGATGAGCTGCAGAATGAAGTGGTTCAGGAGGTGGTAGCTGTGGAGACTGTGGAGGTTGAGGGTTCTACTTCTTCTCCTGCTCAAGTGCAAGATAAGGGTGCAGAGCTATTGGCAAATGATGATGGGTTTCAAGTGGTCACACAGAAGGAATAGAATAAGGGCTCCTGCCCCGGGGTCTGTCTCTCAAAGTCCATGGAGTTTTTCAACTGCTTCGCGTAAGAGTTCACTTGATGATCAGGCATTCCCTTCGCTGAGTCGACCTGTGTTGAAGCGTCCTGTGGAACCTCCACCTATTGCTCCTACTCGGGGTAAGGGTAGGGGGAAGAAGCGGGGTAAATGAAGGTATTGTGTTGGAACATCAGGGGGTTTAATGCCCCTGATAAGCACTCTGCTGTGCTTAAGAAGTTTTGGAGTTTGAAGTTAGATATAGTAGCGTTAATAGAAACTAGAGTTGTTGCTTCTCATAGTTCTGATATTCTCAAGAAGTTCAGTCAATTTAAGCATTTAAATAACTACCCTAAGTCTGTTAATGGGCGTGTTTGGTTGCTTTGGAAAGAAGGTCTGGATATAGTGAAGGTTGATGATGGGCAGCATTTCATTAAGGTCAGAGTTGGAGGGCCTAATCCTTTCTTTTTTATTAGTAGTATACAGTCCAAACAAGGAAGCTGATAGGGCAGTGCTGTATAAGGAGCTTTTACTCCAGCAAGAGGGGAGTGTTCCAATGGCAATTTTGGGAGATTTTAATGTTGTTGCTGATCCGGGGGAGACTTCTAATCTTTTGGTTATGAACTCGAGTATGGTTTCTTTTAAGGCCTGGATCACTGATATGAATGTGATTGATCATAAAGTTATGGGGGCTTGGTTTACTTGGTGGAACAAGCAGGAGGAAAATCCCATTGCAAAAAGATTGGATAGGATTCTTATCAATGAAGCATGGTTATATGTGTTTAAGGCTAGTACTGCAGTTACTTCTCCACCAGGGGTCTCTGATCACAGTGGTTTATTGCTGACAGTTATCCCTCAGGTGAAGGGCTTTCCTAAGCCATTCAAATATTTCAAGTTTTGGACTAGTCACCCTGGCTATAATGAGTTAGTGGCTGCTGCTTGGAAGCATAAGGTGATTGGCTACCCATATTTTGTTCTTTATGGTAAGCTGCAGAAAGTTCGTCAGGCTCTAGCTAAGATGAATAAAGAAGTGTATGCTGATATATCTGTTCAAACTAGAGCTTGTGAAAGTAGACTGGAGGCTATACAGTTGGCTATATTGGCTAATCCTGATGCTGTGCTGGTGGGAGAAGAGAAACAGCTCTCTGTTAAATGTCGTGATTTGTAAAAGGCTGAAGAAAGTTTTTACAGGCAGAAAGCTCGCATAAGGGGGGTCCAGGAGGGTGATATGAACACTGCATCTCAGTAAATATTCATTCTCACCGTCAACAGGTAATCGTCTGTTAAACTCTCAAGGGCAGGAGGTGACTGATATTAAGAAATTGGGGCAGATTGCAGTTGAGTTCTATAAAACCCTTATTGGGGAGGTTGATCCTGAAGTGTTTATTCATCCATCTAGTTTCTATGAAGCTTTGGCTCTTAAATCTCTTACTCAGGAGGAAGCTAGTTCATTAATTACTCCCATAACCAAGGAAGAAGTTTGTAGGGTGTTTAAGAATCTGGGGCGAGACAAAGCTCCAGGTCCTGATGGGTTCCCTGCTGAGTTTTTTAAATTGCACTGGGATTTGATTGGTAAAGAAGTGGAGGAGGTTGTTCTGGCTTTCTTTTCTTCTGGTATTATGCCGCAGGTTCTGAATTCCACCCTTTTCACGCTGGTGGCAAAGATTCCAAACGCTGAGAGAATGAAAGACTTTCGTCCCATTTCCTGCTGTAACACAGTATATAAAGGTATCTCGAAGGTTTTGGCCAACAAGTTAGCTTCTGTCCTACCAAGCCTTATCTCTACATCTCAGTCTGCTTTTATTAGAGGTCGGTCCATATGTGATAATATCTTATTAGCATCAGAGTTAGTTAAAGACTATCATAGGAATAGAATTTCCCCACGATGTGCTGTGAAAATCGATATTATGAAAGCGTTTGATTCCATGGACTGGAATTTCCTGTTTACTGTTCTAAGTCAGATGGGACTCCCTGATATGTTTATAAAATGGCTGCGAGCTTGTGTTTGTACTCCTAAAGTGAGTGTTGTGATGAATGGTGGAGTTTGTGGGTTTTTTTAGATGAAAAAAGGTCTGAGGCAAGGCGATCCCCTGTCGCCATATTTGTTTACTGTTGCTATGAAAGTATTAGATGGCATGTTGAAGTTAGCAGTTAGGCAGAACCAAATCCCCCCCCCCCCACCCTAGATGTAAACCATTGGCAATCACCCACTTGTGTTTTGCTGATGATTTACTTGTGTTTACTAATGGTTCTATAAGGGGGGTGGCAGGGATCTGTCGGGTACTTGATGCTTTTTATAAAGTCTCTTGTCTTAAATGCAATCCGGATAAGTGTCAATTGTTTTGTGGGGGAATCTCGGCGTCTGAACAGCATTATATATCATCATATTCAAAATTTCCTCTTGGTAACTTGCCTGTGAGGTATTTGGGAGTCCCTCTTATCACTAGGAAACTATCTAGGGCAGACTGTCGGGTTTTAGTACAGAAAATTACAGCTAAGATTTCAAGTTGGAGGGCAAGAACGTTGAACTTTGCTGGAAGATTACAACTTATCACGTCTGTTCTGACTAGTGTGTTGCAATATTGGATGGGGATCTTTCTTCTCCCTCAGTTTGTCATTAAGGAAGTAGAGTCTGTCTGTAGTAAGTATCTATGGGATATAACTGAATCATCAATTCGGACAAGGTCTGTTGTTTCCTGGGAGTTTCTTGCTCGGCCTAAGAAGGAAGGGGGTTTAGGAATTCGGGGGTTTGCAATCTGGAATAAAGCCTGTGTGCTTCGTCATTTTTGGGCAGTTCTAGCTGAGCAGGGGTCTCTTTGGGTGGCCTGGATCCACCGTTATCGAATCAAGCACAAGTCAGTTTGGGAATGAAAGCCTTCTTCTGCTGCTTCCTGGATATGGCGGAGGATTTTGAAATGTCGGGATATGGCTAGGCCTTTTATATCCTTGCTGCAGGGGGGATTAGCATGGAATGGTGAGATTATGGAATCATATTCTGTCAAAAGGGTCTGGCAATCCCTTCGTCAGAAGAGTAGTGTTGTGCCTTGGGTGAATTTGGTTTGGGACAGTGTGGTGATTCCTCGCCATGGATTCATTCTTTGGTTGATTATTCAGGATAGGTTGAAGCTGCAGGACCGCCTTATCTCCTGGGGGAAGTCTCTATCAGGCTTATGCTTGCTGTGTCCTAGTGGGATGGAGACTCGGAATCATCTTTTTGTGCAGTGTGCGTTATGTACTTGTGCAGGTGTTCAAGTCTGCTGCGCCGCCGCCATTGGTAGATTGGCAGGATGTTTTGAACTGGTGTGTTGCTCGCTGGGGTGGGAACTCTGCTTCTGCACGTCTTAATCGGCTTTCCTGGAGTGTTGTTTTGAGTCTGATTTGGCGAGAGCGATGCTCTCGAATGTATGGATCAGCTAGTG